CTTGCGCTTATCCGGATTGTTCAAACCGACTTAAAACTAAAAGATTACGTTCTCTCGCGCGAACTCATTCGGGAGTGGTGACTTTCCACGTATTTCCAACTTCTGAGCCTGCTCGCCTGAAGTTATGGTTGATTGCTCTTCGGCTGGATATCAACACACCAATTAACGTAAACTACGCCAGAGCACGTACACACCTCACGCACCGGATGCCGGGCGCGCGCTCAAAGCAGTTGGACATAGTGGTGTATTAGAGGTCAAATATTACATAAAAACAGTTCGGTTTCTGGCACAAACCGATCGTTTCGTGTCTTAGGACATCAATGTGTCGTCACGAGCCGCAGGGTTTAATTTGGATTTGTCTGTGCATGTTTTTTTTACTCTCATAGATTTTGTTACCATTGCCATGCATTATAAGACTGACAGACTGCAACGGCTGGAGTTAAAAATCTCCGTTTGTGTTCTACTGAAGAAACAAAGTCACCTACATCTTGGATGCCCTGGGGGTAAGCAGATAAACATCACATTTTAATTTTTGGGTGAACTATCCCTTTAAACAGGCAGATGGGGTTCTTTCGTACATTTGTATTTAGGGATGTGTGTGTTTTGACTGTGCTCTGTATATCACACAGACTTCCTTGGTTACGTGGATCTCAGTGCCATGGCAGTAACGCAGTGGGCCCTTCAGACAGCCAGACCTCATAAACACCTGTCAAGAACGAACGCTGGGATCCGGCTTTTGTTCTAAAAGCTGAATCAAACGGAAGCAAGGAAATCCAGTCTTGTCAGTGAAATGCTTTCTTAATGTATTTTAAAATAAATGTTTGGTTTAGGCTACATTGATCTATAAATGTAGAAGTCAAGTTAAATAAATAAATAAAAAAACATTTAAAAAAAACATTGTATTGATGCATTAAAACATTCATACAGTTGAAGGAATGAAATACAATTAGGAACATTGGCCAATATTTGGAAGGATCTGATATGGGTTTGAATCTAATGAGGGCATCATTTTGCAAGTTTATTTGATGAAGGCTGATCCTGTGGAGATTCTGCCGTGAAGGGCTCATGCATGTTATTGTTGTCTCAGGTTGGCTGCTGTATTTAGTTACCCAACAGAAACGCGGGAGGCCTCGGGAACGTAACCTAATATGTAAGCGCTGCTATCTATCCAGCATTCTTGGATTGCATTTTTGCGTTCAAGTTCAAGACTCCTGCTGCAGACAAAACTATTGTCTTCTGTAGAGCTGCTTGGATCTGAAATGAACTTGTTTCAGAATTGATGAACCGTACAGTTATTGAACTGAACTGAATCAAACACTGAACTGACTGGAGCTCAATAATGACACCGTCCTTGCTGTAGAGCTGCTTTAGAGTTGAGCTGAGTTCACTTCGTAACTAATGAGGTTTGCAACATTCGCTCTGTTATCGAACTGAATTGAGCTGCATAATGGCACCATTATCTTCTGTAGAGCTGCTTTACAGCTAAAAGTGAATTTGTTTCATAAGGGAATTTGGCCAGATTAGCACTGTTATTTTCCTGTTTATTACTGAGACTGTTAACAGCAGTTGTTCTAGCAAATTTAACCAGTTTTCATTGTTATAATTGTTGAATGCATTGTTGATTTGCAACCAGGTTATTTTGAGGGTAAAAGCTGGGCCTTTATGGGTGAACCTCATGAGACCTGTCAAAAACATGTCTGCTTGGGTTTCTCCCCAAACCCAAAAGAAAGAGAGAACTTCCACTTTGCTTATAGAAAGGAATCTTTTTTTAGTTTCCTTGTGAATTTATTTTTCATGACAATTAAGCACATGTACACCCAAATTCTCATTACTGTAAAAAAAAAAACAACATTTTAATATATAATTAAAATCTAGTATCATTATGGTAGTACTTGTTGCAACTAATGCTGATTTCAATGATGCATCTTTGCATTGTATTACTCATGGTCACCATTGAGAATAATAGGAATTCAAATAAATTCAAAATTAAAAGTCCAGATGCATTACAGTAAACAGAATTTGGGGACAAATGGGCTTATTTGTTACGAAAATAAAGTTGCAGTGCAAAAAATCTTCAAAATAAATAAATTGACCATGCAAAATGCATCATGAAATGGTAAGCACAGCCCAGACCCATATAGCAGGCTCTTACTCAATGCAAACTGACCCAAACCACTCAGGGACTAATAGATCACGTCTCTAGATCATGATGCAGGAAACGACAATGATGCCGTTTTTTTGCATCCTGTCAGCAAAGGTGGTGAAAATGTGCATTGAAGTAACACCTGATGTGTCATAATGTGTGGGATTATGACTGATCTGTCAACTGCTTTCCTAAAACAGGCTAGAGTTGAGAAGATCCTACAGCAGCAGTGAGCCGGGCCGGAGTGAGGTGAAAGCACAGGCACATCGCAGCCATGCTGGAGGAGGACATGGAAGTGGCCATCAAGGTGGTGGTGGTGGGGAACGGAGCAGTCGGGAAGTCCAGTATGATCCAGCGATACTGCAAGGGCATCTTCACGAAGGACTACAAAAAGACCATCGGGGTTGACTTTCTGGAAAGACAGATCATGTAAGCATGCTTTTACGCTTCAGTCGGGTCGCTTTGAAATGCTTTTATAGGTTTCCTGTTGTCTGCGCTCTTTGGTTTCTATGTTTGAACCTTATTGCTCAGCAGGTGGACCGCATTAAGGCTGGCTTCATGTCTTTGCTGCTCAGTTTCTTAAAATACAATTTTTTACCTCTTTTACCTGGAAGAAGAAAACCATTTCTTTAGAAACTGAGTAATCTAAGAAGTTGTTTTGGATAGCATGCTGACATTACTAATGCAAAGTATTTTTGCACACTTTCTGTGTGAATGATCTGCTTCATTTGTCAGAATGCGTAGTATCGACAGACACAAGAGTATATTACATGGAATATGTATTCGAGATGCATTCACCTTGACCTTCATCGTACAAATGAACCAGAAGCGATATCAAACGTGAGTTTTAAAATCTATAACCATGTCTTGAATATTGTGGGGAACCAAAGCACATTTTTGGCGTGTTAATAGTGGTTTAAAGGAATTAACGGATTTAAAGGGAGCTACAGGAATAAAGAAGAACGGTAGAAAATAACTTTATTATGAAGTAATTCATTCAACTATTTGCAAATAAACCTTTTTTTTTTTTTTTTTTAAATATGCACAAATTCGGAAATGAACCAGAAGCGATATCAAACGTGAGTTTTAAAATCTATAACCATGTCTTGAATATTGTGGGGAACCAAAGCACATTTTTGGCGTGTTAATAGTGGTTTAAAGGAATTAACGGATTTAAAGGGAGCTACAGGAATAAAGAAGAACGGTAGAAAATAACTTTATTATGAAGTAATTCATTCAACTATTTGCAAATAAACCTTTTTTTTTTTTTTTTTTAAATATGCACAAATTCGGTGCTTACCTTAGCTGCGTAATATGCCAAATCAGCTCCATTAATGTTTTTTGTCACGTCACATTCAGTTATGAACTAAATAATGTCAGTCGTTTAAAATCGTTAAACAGTAATCAAATATTACATGTTTAGCTACATTACATATTACCTTGCACTCTTTCACTGTTAAAACTGAGGTGGCATGTTGGAATTCATATTCGGTCTCCGTTAACAGTAAACCCCGCCTTCTTTGATTTGATTGGCCATCTGAATCATTCTGACATTTTGAGTGCTGTTTAGTTATTAGTGGTTTGTCACAACATCAGTACAGAAATCGAGTGAGATGTGGTCACAGGTGTGTGTATATCTGCTGTTTTACAACAGCTTCGTATACGGCCCATCCAATCAGAATTTACAGGCTGAGCTATTCTTTTCATTGGGTTATTTTGACAGGTTTTTTTTTTCAACCCAAGATAAGACTCATTATTCCTTTGTCATGAATAATCTGATCTGTTGGTTTGTGTCCTAAATAAAGTTCTAAATAATGTAAGTATGTTATTTGTATTTAATTCACTAGATTATCCATAAATAGGCTTTATCATAAGTTATGTAGTATACAAACCAGTTTGGGTTAATCCATCTCAGGAGGACCATTGGATCTTGCTTGAACATTATAAGCACACGAATAAAGACGTTTTTTACCTCAGATTTCTACTAGTCGTAACCAGTGGAATCTGAAAGTCATACGTTTACGGCTGCCATAGATTTTCACAAAATCAGACCATCCTGAGCTGAGATATTGTTTCCGTAAACATTCATGTAACCAAAATTTGTTGTTGCCAAAATGGTCTTTGTTGCATGACACAAAAATGTTGTTAAACCAGTATAATAAAAATGTTTAAAACTGGTGGTTTTGCAAAACCAGTACATTAGAGGGAGTCACTAAACTAAAATAATATAAAATAAAATGTTTAAAAAAAAAAGGTCAAGCAACCAACTTGACATTTTTTGAGCCAATTGAAATGGACTGACCCATTTGACACACACTGTTACTGTGATTAGTTCTCATAGGAAGATTTTGGCAGTACCGCCCAACTCTATTTCATATACTGCTTTTTAGAAATGAGTAGGAGTATGTAGTATGTACTACACACAGTAGATTACTTACCATTTGTAGTCTGTTACTGATTACAGATTGCATGATGAAAACCATAGTTAGTAACGTAATCTAGGTTACTCGTTTTAGGTCATGTATTCTGAATACTTTTTAGATGACTTTTCTTAATCTAACTTGTTTTAAACTTACCATTAAATGTACCATATTGATATCATAAAACAAAGCAAAGAGAAAGAAAGAAAATTAGTGCCGTTTCGATTAATCCCACCTAACATTTTTTCAAATATACAGTTTTTAAATATACATTTATATTGCAATAATTTCACATTCAATCTTCAAATTAATGTAGAATCAACATACATTATATTTTTAATATTTGTTTTATGACTGAAGGAGAGTATCACTGATACCAGTACTACTGATGTCTCTAGGAAATTTTCTTTTTTCTAATATTTAACCATTAACTATAGCCATTCAGCATTACAGTATAATTGAGAGCTATCAATCTGAACATTTATTAGACTACTTAAAATATCTTCTAATTTATGTGAACTTAAAACAATCTTCACATAAACCCATTATAATGGATGTCATATTTAGTTACCTGTGTCCTTCAGCAAGTAGGAAATATACAGAAATTGAATAAAGTTATCAAACACTAAATTCTAATTTAAATCTAAATTTGAATCCTTAAAGCTACAAAGGTTATTGATTTCCTCTTTTTTTCTTTAGTTCTTTGATGAAAAGACATCACAGCAGCTGGTTATTAGGTTATTTTGGCTGCTATTACTTTAAGAGCTGCCGCTGCTGAACATCACGCGGATCTGACACGCATCCTATTTTCTCAAAACTCTTTACCTTTTCTAACATGCTTCAGGTCTTAAAGTCTCTACTAAGTAACTTCATGACTTAACTGATATTGCATGCTCGTAGTTTCTTTTGCGCTTTAATATGAAATTATAAACAGTGTGCGCCACTGCATTTGTGCGTGCAATTGAAGAGCATGTGCTACAGTTGTGTGTGGGGTGGCCAACACTAGCTCCGCCCTTGCGTTAATTGCGTTAAATATTTTTAACGTGTTAAACTGAAAAATGAATCGCCTGCGTTAACGCTAATTTTTACAGCACTAAAGAAAATATATTCCATTTTTTTATATCAACATCAAAAAATGCATTAAAAATTACATTACACCAGGGTTTCCCAAACTGGGTTTAATGTAAGAACTGCAGTGGGTTGGTAAAAATCGAAATGATTAAAATATTAACTAGGAACTATTTTTTTTGAAGGAGTTTGGCGCACAAAAACATGGGAATGTTCATTACAGGAACAAACATTAATAAACATGGAAACAGCAATGACACACACAAAGTCTTCCAGGTTTGAAATGTTTTTTGTCCAGAACGATATGTAATCCATAAAAAAGTAACTGAAATCTGATTATGGGCATTTTAAAATGTAATATACTCTACTTACAAGTACTTAATTTTTGTAATCTGATTACATAATCCAGATTACATGTAATCAGTTACTACCCAGCACTGACTGCACAGTAGGTACAGTAATCAACTCATACATACAAACAAAGCCTGAATCATTCACAACTTTAAACAGAAATAAATGCCAGTAAATCTGGCTCACATTTGTCATGGCAGACAACAAAACACTTCCGAACGAGCAAACGTCCTGTTTGCATTTAAATATGGTTTATGACAAATAACACGTGGTGACGCTCAGGCAACCCCTTGGGAAAAGAACATCCTCTTGCTTTTTTAGCAGTAGTTCCTGGATATCAGTCTCTTTCCAATATAACATGAGACGTGTCATCGGCAGTAAATGCCAGAGAAAATCTCTGCGGTTTACTGTTTGTACACATAAAACGAAACGAGGAACAAATGAGCTGGCAGTGGCTTCATCTGTTGCAATGCTTAGTCAAACTGAGAATGAAAGCAGATGTGAATTGCAGCTGTAAGCCTGCTTGACCTGACATGCGGCCCCAACAGATTTTGGGAAATGATTTTACCATTTTTATTTGTTTTTCACCTAATTATTTGATGCATTTCAGCAGACTTTTAGATATTGGCCCAATGCATATATCAGGTTTACATTACATGCGTTTCAGAGTTAACGGTGAGGACGTCAGGCTGATGTTGTGGGACACAGCAGGACAGGAGGAGTTTGATGCCATCACCAAGGCCTATTATAGAGGTGAGACCGTTTAGCTGTGAGGTTCGAGGCCTTGAGCGGGTTTGTGACGTGTGTTTGCTCCTTTAGGAGCTCAGGCCTGTGTGCTGGTCTTCTCCACCACCGACAGAGAATCCTTTGAGGCCATCAGCAGCTGGAGGGAGAAAGTGGAGATGGAGGTCGGGGACATTCCCACCGTCCTGGTGCAGAACAAAATCGATTTGCTGGACGACACGGTTATCAAAAAGTAAGACAAAAAGAATCAGGGTTCAGTTGTTTAATGCACAGTATCAGCGACGGTAGAGATTGATGTGGCCAATGGCAAACCTTCTGTGTTGCTTCAGTGAGGAGGCTGAAGGTCTCGCTAAGAGGCTGAAGTTGAGATTCTATCGGACATCAGTAAAAGAAGATCTGAACGTCAATGAGGGTGAGCGATAAAGCATTTCAGTTCACAAAACTGATTTATGCTCAACTGTAAAATAACAAATTTTTAGTGCTGTCGAAAGATTAATCGCGATTAATCGCATCCAAAATAAAAGTCTTTGTTTACATAATATATGTGTGTGTACTGTGTATATTTATTATGTATATATAAATACACACACATGCGTGTATATATTTAAGAAAAATAAGTTGTTTATATTTTAAATATATTTATATATAATATAAATTATATGACTATAAATAAATACATGTCTTTTATTTTGGATGCGTTTAATCGTTTGACAGCACTACTCATTTTATATATTTTTGATGTTGTAGTTTTTAAGTATCTAGCTGACAAATATCTGCAACGACTCAAGCTACAGTCAGCAGAGGAGACCGAGGTTGTTCACATGTCCAGCAATAAAATAGGTAAGATTTTTTTTTTTAAGAAATTAATACTTTTATTTAGGGATGGGAATTTTTAGACATTGCATGATCCGATCTGATTTCCATTCTTGGTATCACGATTCCAAAGCGATTCTTGATCTACTTTTTAAATCTACTTTTTTTTTTAATTATTATTATTATTATCATTAATTATTATTAGTTTATTTGTTTTACCCACGTTACCAAATTTATTTGTTCATTTTTATTAAATTACCATAAGTGGGATACTTTTTAAAATCATTACAGTCATTACAAAATCATTACAAATAATAAATAAATCAAAACAATTGTATGTTAAGAATTATAACCAACTAAATGTAGCTTCAAAACGTACAAGCAGATATAAAGAAATAAAGGGGAACAAAGAAACACATTACAAGCAATAAACAAAAAGTGCTTTCTGTATCTGAGCATGCTTTAAGTATCTGAAAGTTTCCAGACAGGCGCTCTTATGGATTTTTCTCCTTTTCTCAGAAATTGTTGCTATTTGATTATTACTGATGACCTCACAGACACATCTTATATTTATATATTTCATTTTATTACAACTCTGCTAGTGTTTATTTAAATGTAGCTTTAGCATGACTGTTTGAAATTCTCATGACACGTTTTGAAATGGTCTCTTACTGTTTTCAGGCGTTTTCAACACTACAGCCCACCAGACCGCCGGCGATCTGAACGGCCGTGAGATCATAAACCTGCGCCCAAACAAGCAGAGGACCAAGAAAACAAAAAACCCCTTCGGTAGCTGCAGACTGCTGTAGAATGGCTTTGATTCACTGCATGCCTTGCTGGGAATTGATGAGCTTCATTAGCACTAATTAGAGTTCAAGGAAGGTCCCGCGTCCACTCTGAACGCGTGTAATCCAGAGCAGATCCGTCATAATGTGTGTGTGTGTGTGTGTGTGTGTCTGTGTGTGTGTCTGTGTGT